CTGTGTGTGCTGATGGCCCTGTGTGTGCTGATGGTCCTGTGTGGGCTGATGGTCATGTGTGTGCTGATGGTCCTGTGTGGGCTGATGGTCCTGTGTGTGCTGATGGTCCTGTGTGTGGCTGATGGTCCTGTGTGTGCTGATGGTCCTGTGTGTGCTGATGGTCCTGTTGGCTGAAGGTCCTGTGTGTGCTGATGGTCCTGTGTGGGCTGATGGGTCCTGTGTGTGCTGATGGTCCTGTGTGTGCTGATGGTCCTGTGTGTGCTGATGGTCCTGTGTGTGCTGAGATGGTCCTGTGTGTGCTGATGGTCCTGTGTGTGCTGATGGTCCTGTGTGGGCTGATGGTCCTGTGTGGGCTGATGGTCCTGTGTGTGGGCTGATGGTCCTGTGTGTGCTGATGGTGGTCCTGTGTGGGCTGATGGTCCTGTGTGTGCTGATGGTCCTGTGTGTGCTGATGGTCCTGTGTGGGCTGATGGTCCTGTGTGGGCTGATGGCCCTGTGTGGGCTGATGGCCCTGTGTGGGCTGATGACCCTGTGTTGGCTGATGGTCCTGTGTGGGGCGGGGCCGGGGTATCCGTCCGTGGCTGGAGCTAGTGAGGGGGTGCAATGGCTGCCATCCTCTCCTAAGGAAACCGGTCCGGTGGGGAGCAGTGGTGTGGTCTGCTGTGCTGTGGTCTGGGCTTCCGCGCCCCAAAGCCCCTGTGTGGGCCTCGGACCCTAGATGGGTGCTGTGGGAGGGGTCTCTCTGGGAGCGGGGGCAGTCTGCGGCTTCCCTCCCAGCGCCTCCCACCCCGAGCCCAGGATGGGCCGGCTCAGGTGTTTGTTGGAGTAGCCGTCAGGCAGTTGTACAGAAGGACGGACAAGCTTCCGTGGTAGCTTTTATTTGCTTCTGCTCTATGGTCATCAGACGTTGCGTTACTGGGAAGTAGACTTTGTAGCACATGTATTTTAAAATATCTCATTCTGCGCCAGTCCTCTGAGCACCTCTGCAGAGTGTGGTTCTGGCTTTCCACCAGAAACTCAGAGCGGACCTCACAGCCTGGGACTCGGCCTGGATCCCAGAAGCTCGCCCTCCCTCCACGGGGACCCCCGTGGGGGCGGCCGGCCCGACTCGAGGCTCCGATTCCCCACACCCCTCCCTCCACAGTTCACCGCTGCTTTTCACCAGGCAGCCTAGGATCCACCTTTGCCAGGCTCCGCTTCCCCACGCCCCTCCCTCCACAGTTCACCGCTGCTTTTCACCAGGCAGCCTAGGATCCACCTTTGCCAGTGCCAGGGTCCCGAGAGGAGCAGAGGCACCTACTGGCAGAGCAGGACCTGGGACCCGCAGGCCGGATCCCGAGGAGAGAGGCTGCGGTGAGCCCCGCCCTGCCTCGGGACCGAGGGGCCGGGGCCCCGCCCTGCCTCGGACCGAGGGGCCGGGGCCCTGCCCAGCAGCCGGGGACAGACGGAGGGGATGGAGGGACCGGGGCCCTGCCCTGCCTCGGGACCGAGGGGCCGGGGCCCTGCCCTGCCTCGGGACCGAGGGGCCGGGGCCCTGCCTGGGCAGCCGGGATGGAGGGGCCGGGTCTGTAACTGGGCAGCCAGGGATGGAGGGGCCGGGGCCCTGCCCGGGCAGCCAGGGACGGAGGGGTAGGGGCCCTGCCCTGCCACGGGACGGAGGGGCCGGGACCGTGCCCGGGCAGCCGGGGATAGAAGGAGGGGACGGAGGGGCCGGGGCCCTGCCCTGCCACAGGACGGAGGGGCCGGGGCCCTGCCCGGGCAGCCAGGATGGAGGGGCCCGGTGAGCTGGAAAGGGTGTTGAGTTCTCTGCACGCTCACCCGGCACAGCCCTCACCCCGCAGCGTGGGGCAGAGCAGGGGCTCCCCACTCTGGGGGTGCTCCCCGCTCTGGGGGTGCTCCCTGCTCTGGGGGTGCTCCCCACTCTGGAAGTGCCCCCTGCTCTGGGGGTGCTCCCCGCTCTGGGGGTGCTCCCCACTCTGGGGGTGCTCCCCACTCTGGGGGTGCTCCCCGCTCTGGGGGTGCTCCCCGCTCTGGGGGTGCTCCCCGCTCTGGGGGTGCTCCCCGCTCTGGGGGTGCTCCCCGCTCTGGAAGTGCCCCCTGCTCTGGGGGTGCTCCCCGCTCT